ATACCGGAACGTACCCTGGGTACGGTCCGGTATACCGGTGCGTACCCTGGTAACTATCTAATATGCCGGACCGTACCTCGCCTACTTCAAACCGTACCCTGACTTTCAGCCGATGTCGTAATACATACCGCTTGTCGGCAGGAAACGTGCCGCTTTATGCTCCCGTTCCTTGTTTCCGGTCCGTTCCCGCAAAATATTCGTAACCCTTACCCTGTTACGTTTCACCTCCCGACCCTTTCTACAAGTGTCAGCGAGTCTATACGTTTCCAACCCATTTTAAGATAATCATACAAATTTCCTTGTTCCACCACAACACTTGGAGCCATCTTTCAAAAATCTCGCGCAAAAATGCGCAAAAATGTCGTAAACATTGCGAAAGGAAAACGCATTCCCGATCATCGCGATATTTGCAAAAGGATTGCGCACATCAGTGTATATAGGTTGAAATTTCTTCTTGGTTTCACAGTTTCATACTCTAATCCAACTTTATAGAGATATCATACAGGTCTGTATGTATATTTCAAATTTTGCGACATCAGTAGTGGGCGGAACAGGGACAGTCAGGGTACGGTAGGGAGTAAGCGAGGTACGGTCCGGCATATCACATAGTTACCAGGGTACGTTCCGGTATACCGGACCGTACCCAGGGTACGTTCCGGCAGTACCCTGGGGAACATAGACCCTATCAGCGGCAGTGCCAGTGGTGGTATTGCCTATGCCTATGGTATTGGTATTGGTGCAATGGTGAGCACAGCCACAGACTCGTTCAGTCGTTGCACTGCCATTTGTGAAACCAGTAACAGTATTTAAGTAACACGACCTCATAAATATTAGTCTTTAAAGACCAAGGGCCTATATCGAATACGGAATGAGACAATGTTGAACAACAACAACAACAAGCATTTCTAAGCGTACCCCTAACCACTTGTCATTAGGACAGGTGGAATCCAGGTAAATGTTGCATCCCCAGTAGCAAACACATTGTCATTTATAGTTAGTATAACAACAAGTTGCATGCATCTGCTATCTACATGCAAACATTCAATCAGAAGCCAATTGTAATCAGATTAAAAGTGGAGGCATGAACAAAAATATAAACCTAGTTCAAAATTATGCCTAATGCTTTACTCAATTAAAAGAATACATGCCGATATAACGATCCTACTTCAACACTAATTATTGGCTCAATTGAGGCAAGGTCAGTCCCTGTCTGACAGCCAGCTTACTTATTCAGACCCCTGTAAGTAACCCACTTTCTCACTGGTTATTCAAAAAAATACATAGCTAAATAATAGTTGGTTATTGTGTGTTTTCTAGGCATGGGAGAATGATGACTACCGCATGTCCAGGTTTGAGTATCAACCCAAGCAGGTTAACCCTAACTGGGCGATAAACCTAATTGCAAAGGTTCCCCCTAAGCCGGTGGATGCCCACGTTGCTTGCTGTGATGGAGGTGGAGGACCACTTGGCCACCCAAAAGTATACATAAACTTGGTAAGATTCGGGATTGTTGAGAAATCAGTTAATAGCTTTTCTTATCATGATAACTAAACTAATGAACAACACTACGGTTTATGTGTGGTTGATTTAATTCGTTATTTCATATAATTAAAGCATACTATGTTACATGGCTTTGTATTTTTGTAATGAATTAACTTTATGATTCATGAACAATTGTGAGGGTTTCGTATTTAAAAACAGTAAGGATATCATGTGCTTTTGACAAGCTGATCTGTGCAAATTACATCACACAGCTTAATTAATCTAATAAAATCAAAGTCATTATCTCACTCCCCTATCTCAAGTCTGTATTTTCCTAATTAATTTTCTATTAGGTTGCTAATTTTCATCGGTTCTCTGTTGAAATGTTATGAAGTAAAATGTTTGGAAACCATGTGCAGATGGCATAATTTATATTCATTAATTTCACTCATATATGGCACTCTAAAGTGACCAAGATGCTTCTTTCAGACAAGGGGCTAGCTCCTTGCTTTCAGTTATCTTCTTTGGCCTTGCATATTTCATTCTCCAAATCTCGAGTAACATGAGTATTGCTGTTTCTCTGGGGGCTCTCTCGTTCTGCCAGTTCATCGTTTGTGATACAAATAACCTGGATCGTGGGCAGCTTGGATAGCAGATTTTGGTTGTTAGTCAAGCTATACTACACCCTTTGTGTCACGCCCGTGCAAAATCACCCCTGTTCTTTGTAAATGCGCATCTAGACCCTTGTGAGCTTTCGCCCCAGTATATTTTTCCGTAACTTTCTGTAGTTTGAGAAGTGACGCAGTTGATCAAAGTCAGTTTTATTCATACAAGTTGTTAATGTTAATACAGACAACTGTAGGTAAATTGGTGCTTGTTTTGTCTTATGCATTTGTTTCTTGTGTATTGCAGGATCAACCTGGCAATCACACATGTGGATACTGTGGTCTTCGCTTCTATCAAGATCACCACCATTAGTTGGTTGTATAAATTATGTGTGTACCATCCAATAAGGCGTAGTGTATGTTAGCAATCCCCCTTATAATATACTATGATATGTGCAGCAGTAATATCTATTACTTTATGTAGAATTTTCTTGGAAACAATTGGTAATGACAATTGCAATGTTTTCAGTGCTGTTTATATGTGAGCATCCAAAATGATGTAAAGAAATAGAATACACTTGATTTTCACTTACTTATCAACTATTTTTAATTAGTGAATATTTCTGAAACCCTTCATGTCAATTGGATATTTAATAAGCAGTCAAGCATTGTACTGGAATTTAAATAGACACTTGCTAAATAGTCATTATGCTTGCTGCTAGTTGTTACAGCTATTGTTGAGAGATAATAAATAGCTTTATGCTTTCTGTAAATATTTAATGTTTTTAAATTATCAATTTCATTCTATCAACTAGGATCTCTAGTGACCAATTAAATTTCATGTGTATTATTTTAATTCGTAAGCACATTGCTATAGAATTAATATTTTGTACACGTGCATGCTAGTTAAATCTGAATGCACATGCCTCATTCTGTCCAAGTTTGGAAATTACGAATCCACCTATCAGTACAAAATCTCAAACCTTTACAAAAGAACGTGCACATCGGTACGTTCATGTGACAACACTGAAGTGTGAACATTACATCGCATTTTGCCCATCTATTTTTTTTAGTAAAGTTGCCTGTCTACTGCTACATGTTTTAAAGCCTAATGCAAGATGTCTTACTTAAATCATCATACTCGCCTGTTATTATGAGATGCATGTACCCAATTAATAGCTGTCTACTCAAGATGCTGTGGAATTTGTATGATTTTATTGACAAAACTATTGTTCATTATATATTTGACGATTTTTATTAAAATATGTTTCACAGATAGACTTCTACAAAACCAAACCAAACTGAAAATAAATTAAAGTAAAGCCATTGCTTATTAGTTAATAAATTTTAGGGTAAAATATCAACATAAATTATGGTCATAAGCAATGATGCTGTACATAAGTGACGTGGTCACCTTGGGCTTGGCAAAATTGAAGATATCCAACCGTTCATTTGAAAGCTACATTAGCACGTTATCGAAGCGTTTTGAGTAATATTTCTGGTGTTCCTACAAATCGGTCAATATAAGAAATTCCTTTTTCTAAATGAAATATGTCCTACGAATCAATCCACAACAGTTGGACCCATACCACCAAGCATGCAGTGAGACATACGTATAATGTTCTCAATATATCTGATGTATATATCAACATTCAAAATATTGCTCCTGCTTGATTGTTTACAAAAATATTTTGTCTGTCCATGGCATATTGTGCATACGTCTGGAAGAAAATATTTCTATTTATCCAGCCAGAAACTTGCGTGAAAACTGGAAATCCGTTGACATAACAGCAATAAACAGCAGCAACCAAATCCATGTCCACAAAATTTCCCAGGTCGGCGCATAACCACACAGAAATAATTGTACGATGTTCAGACGTGAAAGAAACGTGAACAAGCACTGAACACTACAGCATCACATCTGTTGAAAACCGAGCAGCAGTAGATAACCAAAAAGTATAGGCATATAAGATTATCCTATAAAGATATTAACTGTTTCATATTATCAAAAAGGAATTCATTACCTTAATGTCATCATAGTTGTCATATATATATAACCTTAAATATATTGGTAACTTTCAACTAGAATGTATACATACACGAAATACAATAAACCTAAATATCAGTGTTGAAGTTCCCAACTTGTTTGATTAATTAATTCATCTCTAAACAGATATTATAAAGCATTACATAACTCTGCAGGTAATGGATCTCGTTAATCATTATGCATCAACCTACAGCTGACAACGCAAATGTCATGACGGTTGCCATGTTTATGATGGAAGAGAGCTGTCTCAGTTTTTATGTTTCTGCTAGAATAAGGATCAACCGCTAACAATACATATATACTAACATACACACCATATAACCACGACTAGACAAATATGGCTATTGTTGTATTAGTAATTTAGATTCTGACTCCTATATCTATTAGCTTATTAATAGCAAATCAGAAATCGGTTGCAATGTCAGCAACAACCAGATAACTAAACCTATGGCAGCAAAATTTGGCAAGATCGAGGAACTAAATTCAGCAAAAATCGAAGCAGGTTATAAAAACAGAAATATGAGCAACCTCACCTCCAAGGAGCCAGCAGGTGCAACGACATGCGAGTGGCAACACTATTCCCTGCAAATGAGCAGTAAAGGACAAAATCTAAAATACCTGAGGTCTGAGGATCACCAGCAGCGTAGCTCGTGGAAAGAGCAGGAGGAGGGGGGGGGGCTAGTGGGGCAGTTACCATAAATTATAATATAGATACTATTACATGGTCAAGAACCAATGGCAAACTGCCCCCAAAACACAAACCACATATGGCTCCCCCCCTCGCCAAGGCAAAATGAGTTAGCTGCGCTACTGATCTCATAGTAAGTGACGATCAAACGTCATATCATTTGAATTAACGACATCAGCAAAGCTAAATTATGTCAATCTTGTTCTGTTACCAAAGAAATTTAAGAATACTTATGAGCCTACCTCTATTGCTACACATTTATTCAATATCCATAGGTACACGGTAATTTATTTATTTCACCTAGTATACACAGCTAAGCAGAGACTTTCAAAGGATATGCTTTAAGAGATCACGAATACATACATCCCACCCAGATTTTCTTTTCTATCGCTGACTTTTTTAAAGAAAATATTGCATGGATGTTCGCAGCTAGCATGTAGCAAGATCGCAATATCAAACCAGGCACAAATTCTTGTGAAACATTACCATAGAAAAATAATAGGCATAACTAGAAGTTGGGCTATAAATAAGTGAATATAGAATATCTTGCCTAGCTAGCACATAAAATGAGTAATATGCACAGCCTACAAGTTTGTTTCCTTTAGTCCAATAGACACAGATAGCAGTACAGGTGCATGTCTAACCGCAAGTGCTGTATAAATAAGTTTTCGTAAATTTGGATGTTTCTGGAATAATACAGACCAGGCCTTTACTAGACTAGAATAGGTCCCTTTTTGAAAAAGCACCTAGACAGGAATTTGTGACCAATGTACACCAGGCATTTTTTCTAAAAACGAACAAACAAAAAAGCTAGCCATTCCCGTGTGCCCGCACTACACTGATAGGGTCTATGTCCCCCAGGGTACTGCCGGAACGTACCCTGGTAACTATCTAGCTGATATGGTTAGGGTTAGGGTTAGAGTTATGGTTAGGGTTAGGGAGTAGGCGTAGGCGACTCCCTAGACTCGTTAGTGGAGTAGGCGAGGCACGGTCCGGCATATTAGATAGTAGTATTTAGTACCAGGGTACGTTCCGGCAGTACCCTGGGGGACATAGACCCTATCAGCCCTAGCTACAGCACTACCAACTACTACCTACCAACAAGGTAGGATCAACGTAGGCTACAGGTGGCATGATACTAGTTGCTAAGTGGTTGGCGTCATGACGTTAACCCAACGTTGGCATAATGATGCAACTAGGCAAATAGTTGGCTGAATGACACTGGGTCAACCTCTGCATATGGTTAGCTAGATACAATAATGTAACCCAAACCCAAGAGGATAGGTATCCTCTTGGGTTTGGGTTACACTATTGTATCTAATGGTTAGCATGAAGTTGGTTGCATAACGCTAAACAAATATTTGCATAGTTTTACAGTTGGCATAATTCTAGTTGGCAAACTTATGCTATCCAGTGGAAGTGATGAAAGTGTAATTGAAATGATATGGAAGATGGACAAATATGGAGCACTGGCCGTGCATAGAAGAGAAGTGCGCGCGGCAGAGGTAAAAGAAAAGATAACATGGTGGATCCGTGCACCATAATGAAAGCCAGCGCACAGATCCAAAGAAAAGACTAGGTGACAGAAAGTGTTCCTCCACAGGGTGGCATGTACGAACAGCCGCAGTATATAATATATAGTCTATTTCACGCAGCTGTCCCTTATTTCCCAGTCCGCTGCGCCTTGATGAACAGTACTAGTAGAGTCCACTAAGCACTTCCACTGGTTAACGAAGCCTGCCAAAAGCCGTGTCACAGACGGGGCGGTACCGGGAACAGTACAGCGCAGTGAGGGGGGAGGGGGAGCCGATGTGTATATCAATGTTATCACTGACGAATTAACCATGCACGGGCACCGCCCCGTCTGTCACACGGCCTTTGGCAGGCTTCGAGTGCAAATGCTTAGTGGACTCTACTAGTACTATAGTACGAAATATATTCAATATTATGCCACTTATTATATGCGAAAATGTACTTAGCCTAATACATAGGCCTAGTACTTTGTCAATTACAATAATATGAAATATGGAATACCCTTGGCGAGCGTCATTAGTCATTAGTGACATTAGTCATTACACTAGTACATTCATTACCTCAGACTCAGTCTCTGACTTTTGCATAGAAGTAGATTTATACATGTTTTACATTTCTTTCTATGGACTTATATAATATATTATTAAACCGGTTCAGTAGAGTCCATATATATGTCCAGTAGAGTCAATATATTTCGAAGTAAATAAGGCTACGTGTGTTGAAATGTATATCGAATTAACAGCGATAAATTCGGTGACATGCGGGCTGACGTATTGTCTTCCCACTACGCATTGCGCAGCATGACCTGTAGCACGACTTAAACATAGACTGGTACGCTGCAGTTCGCTGCAAGTCTCTGATGTCTATGGAGCTTGTGACAATGGGCTTGGAAACATTCTAGGCCTTTTTCACATTTTGACATGGATTCTTTGCTACACTCAAGATAGATGAAATGAGTTCTATTTGTATTTTCATTTTCACAATAAAGTGCACACGAAATTCAACGAACTACAAGCTTGTGATCTTCTATTTACCTACCCATATATCGGATAACACAAAAAGTTTGCTTCGAACTGTTCGATTTACCAAACTTAACCACTTTTCGAGCCGATCGACATAAGTAGTAGCAATTTATATTGAGCAGTGATCGCCGTCTCGGTGTAAGTAGTCCGCTTTGCGCGACGGGATCGTTTCACTCACAAAAAGGCGCCGAAACGTCTAGCTACATTGGGGCCCCAAGTATACTTTGTATTTCACATTACATTTCCAATTTCAAACTGCTAAGGCCGATATACATACACTTATTATCTATCGCGCAAATAATGCACACTGGCAATACATAATGGTCTATATATTTGTCCTCCTTGAAAGCGCCGAACAATGGTTTCATGCACATATATATTTCAACGCCAAATCAATATTCCTCTGCAGGCCCAGCAGACTCTTACTTCTTCGGGAGGTGGCATTCACGCGCACTTTTAGCCAGCCAACTTGCCTCAGGTATCGCACGGATAAACGGTGTCGCTGCAACGGTGATAGCTACTTCGTGCAGGCATAACACACCTTGTATATGGCATAAGCGATGACAAAGGTACCGCCACCGGTGACCAGCTTTGACTGCAGAACAGACTCTGCCAATGCAAGCTTTGCCATGATGCCAACAACGTCTAGACCACTGAAATGGTAAACAGGTTTATTTGATTATCATCTATAATGTACAGATATGTAGTTAGGGAGACAAACAAGTGTGCTGCGGAGCGACAGCGCTCATCTAACGTCTTACTGCGGTGACTCGGTGCTGTGGAGTGGTGGGATTCTAGTAAACCCTGTTAGTCCCAAATGTGTTCACATACATGCCGAAACAGTTGGAAGGCACAGGGATGGTATCAGGAACCTTCTCGAAGGAATGTTGTTGGGATCGTTATGAAAGTTGTCACGAGATGGCGACATAGCTTTAAGTGTCTTAAGATTAAAGATTGGAAGCTCCCATCGGTACGTAGTAGCAACAACTATTTGCAAGACAGAATAGGTAAGCACTCATCCATTTACCTACGCAAGCCTACAGCTGAAATAGAGAGCTGCCACCTGTAACTAATTAACACAGGAAAAACTACACAGTACTATCACCACCACATGCCTGGCAGTGGCCACTGGCAGTGGCATAAGTTGCATGTAGCACACTGACCAGTAACAAAATGCCATAGAAATTATACGATTTAAAGAGCATAAACCTTCAACCAAAGTTAGCTTTTGAAATTTCACTGTGACATTGTAGCCTCATACATCCAGGCATGTATAGATTCTAATTTCTTACTAGCAACCCGGCAGTTAAATTCTTTCTAACAGTAAACAAATCCATGTTTAACTCTCCTCTTGAGGGTCCGAAGGTTAATCAGACACTTACTCTTCGCATGTCAGCGGAAAGTACATTTCATGGTCCTTTCAATAAAGCTATAAAAATCGGTATGGTCTCACCGCCTAAAACAAGAAAGCTTTTTCAATCACTCCGTGGTCCGTCAGACGCATGTCTCAGAAAATGTCTTAAAATCTGCCGCTGTGACCTCCAATTTCGGCACAGTGATGGCTTCTTTTCCTACCATGATGCTATACACCGACTATCACGAGCTAGGTCGAGGCCGTTTTTAGATTTGTGACCACAATTCTGCATTTCCTCCCTATTACCTTAAGTTGGAATGTTCCCTCTTCTTTTTTACACTGTCCATGGTTCATACAGGACTGAAATTTTTTCCAAGGACTTTTCAAGGACTTTTCAAGAACATTTTATCGGAAATTCCAGGACATTTTATCAGACATTTATCGGAAATTCATACACAGAACAAAACATACCTGGATTAATTTAATAACCCATTCTTAATCACTTGCATGTCACCTCTAAAACTTACCTGGGATCACATTAATAAACCCTTCTAAATACTGTCACTTCTACAACATACCTTGATTTATACTGACTGATTTACTGACTTACTGTAATTTGTGATTCATCATTAACTGTCTAATCGTGTCTATAGCTTTTTAAGCTCATTTAAATTTTAATGCCAATTTTTATAGAGCTTTGCACATTATTGATGGTACAAAATTTATTTTTATTACAGGCAAGGATTCTTTCTAAAAATTCAAGGACATTTTCATGAAAATCAAGGACATTTTCATTAATTCAAGCATTTTCAAGCACAAAATCAACATTTACTAAACTTCAATGTACTTTTTTCAAGGACTCCTCTCAAATTCAAGAACTTTTCAAGGACTGTGCGAACCATGATCCTCTTAACCTTTGACCTTTGACCCCCAGCTTCGACATCCCAACTCGTTTTCGGATTACCCCCCACGTCCCAAATATCGTGACCGTACGTCGAGCTGTTTAGATTTGTGCCCAACTGTTGACGCACGGACGGCCGGACGCACGAACGCACGGACAATCATGCGATTCTACAAGCTGCATCTGACTATGTCAGATGAGCTAAAAATGAAGTACACATTTTCATTTCAGAGTTATACCCAGTAGTTGCATAAGGTATGATGTTTATGGCCAGATGAGGGAGGGCCTGGGAGGTGGTTGTACTAACTGGAATCAATTATGCATGTCATAGGTGGCCACAATACTCAAGTAACCCCGATCAGTTTGGAGACATACGTCAAACTGTAAAAACAGCGCGTCTGCGATGGGATTGTCAAATGTATACAGCTGGAAATTAAGATGTGTGAATTAGGCAATTAACGTGTCGAAGGATTTATGGGACGTCACAAATTAGGTTTAGCTTTGAAGGCATGACGGATCCTGGCATGCATTAAGGCCTTAAGGTCCTGGGGAGAAACCTGTAATTATTATAATAAAGTGACTCATATACAGCATTTCCCCTGGCCAAAAATGTCCGTGAGGTGGTAAAAAAAAAATTTGATGTGTTTGCGCGTTTCGAGGTCCTAGCAAAGCGAGCACTGCAGGCAACGTATTAGCCAGCGAGCTGTTCAGCCGTTATTTGCACGGTCAGTTTTGAAACTGCACGGCCAATATTGTGTAGCTCACAGCCTAAAAGATTGATCTAAAGCGGTGAACATTTGTAAAATTGCACTCCCAAATAATTTTGCTGCATCCTTCCTCATAATACTCATTCCTGGCTAATACCCTGACTGCAAGTTCAACATTTTTGAAAAAAATGGTGCAATTTGGTGCATTCTATGATATTCTAAAGTCTGAACAGCACATTGTATAAGACTCTTTAATTTTTCTCTAGATATTTCGTCAGCGAGGCGGTGTTTTGGACAAATTTCCGTGTGGCGGCTGAGAATTTGAGCGAGGCGGCCCTCCTCGCTCATGTCAATGCAGGGGAAACACTGCATATATATCAGAGGACCTAGCTATGCCATTTGAAAATATAAATGTGTGCAGACAGCAGTAGTTATAAAAACACATGATTGAAAATCATTCTCAGGACTGTAAACCATACTAGTGAAGCAGAGTGAATTTTCTATTGCCATGCTACATACACACTCCGAGATGTAGGCTATTAACTCACTAAGTAAATGCCAGGATACATGCCTGAGGGTAAACTGTACGTGCACAGTGACAGTGCAGTTTTAGAAAGTTCATTCCAGAACTTTCAATTCATACACAGGAGCATGTAATTACAGGGACTGAGTATGGAAAAGAAGTAGATAGAAATGTCTAATGACAGAACTTACTTTTGGAAAAATTGTGCAATTTGGTGCATTCTAAGCTATTTTGATGCATTATAAGCACTGTTCTATGGAAGAACAGTGATTTTTGTCAGCGAGGCGGTTTTGGACAAATTTCTGTGTGGCGGCTGAGAATTTAAGCGAGGCTGCCCGCCTCGCTCATGTCAATGCAGGGGAAACACTGCTTGGGCTCAGGGATAGAGAAGATGTCCAGTCCTATCTTATCAACTAACATCATCCTATCCAATCACCGTACTGGACATCATCTCTATCCTTTTTCAGGGATAGATAAGATGTCCAGTCCTATCTTATCAACTAACATCATCCTATCCAATCACCGTACTGGGCATCATCTCTATCCTTGAACCCACTGCTTGTGCACAATTTCATTAAATTTATGCATCAAACTCAAAAGAAATTGATATGATTTTCAAATAGAAGTGGGAACCTGGAAACAGTTGACGTTGTACCAAAACCATAGCACATCACAATATTTAAACTTTAAAAACAGTAGTTTTCCATTATGATTATCATCACAATCCAAAATTTAGCGTAATATTTTAATAAATGTTAGTATTATCATTAGGTGAGCATTAAGGGCCTATATATGTGCTATGGCAAGATAAAGTAATTTATATTAGAGGGAAAACAACGGAAGTCATAATTAAATCTGGATACCATTTTACGACAGAGAAAATTTCGCCTCACATACAGAGAGAATAAGGGCCTCACCTGGATATCGCGAGGTATGTGAGACCCAACCAAGCTAGGCACTGGGTAACGTGAAACACAAGCACAGTCGCTCCGTAATCCTTAACCGCCTGCTGTAGCTTCTGCTGGCCTGTCAGCTGTTTGCCGTCCCCTTCCGACTTACTTGCGACACCGGCTGCTCCTTGCTTGCTGTACTCCAGCTCCATTTGGCGAATAATACGATCCTGCTCTTCAAAAATCTCCTCCAGCGTCTTTCGACCAGACTGCACGGCCTGAATCTGCTCATCACAGTTTGGTAGATGGTATTTGATGCAGTTCTCCTTCCAGATCTTATAGCAACAGTCATCGTCCATGCCTTGCACACCCTGGAGACTGACCCGATTAAGTCCTCCTCCACCTCCTCCTGCCACTCCACTGCTGCCAATTCCTCCGGATTTGTCACCAGGCGATGATGTCAAATACCTTCTTTCTCTCAGCGGCCAGCTTTTGACCTGCAGTTTGGAAGCCATTGCCGCAAGGGTGGAGAAATCTTTTTTGCCGTTCTTGTACGGGTTCGTTGCCGTGTGCCTGTTGCTGTTGAAATACTTGGAGGTCTGGGATGCCATTCCTCCTGGCATGTTCAGGTGGGTCGGTGTAGTATTGTAGGGTTCAGGAACATTGCTCTGCATGCAGCTACTGAGATTAAGAGGACTGTGAGCATCACAGATTGTATCCTCGTGGGTATGAGAGCATACGTCAGTGGACGGTCCCTGAGTATCTTGTAGTGGGTTACCAAAAGAAGGCATGCCACTGCCATTACCATTCACATTTTTGTTGAACTCTGTAATCTCACTTGCTTTCACTTGGACTACGGACGACCTGTGTTCTGTAAACTCGTGATCACGTCCCTGATAACCCGCCAAGATACTCGCAGCATCTTCTCGCCTGTTGTCGCTTGACATGCGGTAAATTCGTACATATGGCGGTATGCTAAACAATCGTACGCGACTCGACGCGCTACGACCATGATACAAGGCGATAAATGCCATTTTCATGCGGGAAGTTCCGTTTGCCGTTTATTTTTGTGTGCTAGGTTATTCACTTATTGCACGAAAATATATCATTATCTTTTACAATACAATACACGCTGGGTTTCCTTACTCACGTGCCACGTACTCGCTATTCTTTGCACAGTGCAAAGTTCAAAATGCGCCGTAGTACTCCAGTTTTATGTGGAAAAGATGGGCGATGAACTCCAAATTCAACTCGATTGATGTGGTTATTTTTGTTTATGCTCGCGCGTATCTCACGTGCACAGCACGTGATAAATGTGCTGCCACCTCGCGGGGTAATAAATGGGGTGGGCAAGAACCAGTGCAAGAACATGAAGTACAGTGGGTTTTAGCTCCACTATAGAACGTGTGTTGAAATGTATATCGAATTAACAGCGGTAAATTCGGTGACATGCGGGCTGACATATTGTCTTCCCACTACGCATTGCGCAGCACGACCCTGTAGCAGTACGTGCACTGACGTAAACATAGACTGGTACGCTGCAGTTCGCTGCAAGTCTCTGATGTCTATGGAGCTTGTGACAAGGGCTTGGAAACATTCTAGGCCTATTTTCACATTTGACATGGATTCTTCTGCTCACTCAAGATAGATGAAATAGTTCTATTTGTATTTTCATTTTCACAATAAGTGCACGAAATTCAACGAACTACAGCTTGTGATCTTCTATTTACCTACCATATATCGGATAAACACAAAAGTTTGCTTCGAACTGTTCGATTACCAAACCTAACCACTTTTCGAGCGATCGACATAAGTAGTAGAATTTGTATTGAGCAGTGATCGCCGTCTCGGTGTAAGTAGTCCGCTTTGCGGACGGGCATCGTTTCACTCACAAAAAGGCGCGAACGTCTAGCTACATTGGGGCCCAAGTATACTTTGTATTTCACATTACATTCCAATTTCAAACTGCTAAGGCCGATATACATACACTTATTATCTATCGCAAAATATGCACACTGGCAAATACATAATGATCTATATATTTGTCCTCCTGAAAGCCCCAAACAATGGTTTCATGCACATATATATTTCAACCCAAATCAATATTCCTCTGCAGGCCCAGCAGACTTCTTACTTCTTGGGGGTGGCATTCACGCGCACTTTTAGCCAGCCAACTTGCCTCAGGTATCGCACGATAAACGGTGTCGCTGCAACGGTGATAGCTACTCGTGCAGGCATAAACACCTTGTATATGGCATAAGCGATGACAAAGGTACCGCCACCGGTGACCAGCTTTGACTGCAGAACAGACTCTCCAATGCCAAGCTTTGCCATGATGCCAACAACGTCTAGACCACTGAAATGGTAAACAGTGTATTGTGATTATCATCTATAATGTACAGATAATGTAGTTAGGGAGACAAACAAGTGCTGCGGAGCGACAGCGCTCATCTAACGTCTACTGCGGTGACTCTGTGGTGGAGTGGTGGG